TGGGCCGCCCGCCCTCCCCTGGGCCGCCCGCCCTCCCGTTGCCTTAGCCAAGCTGCCTGCAGGATTAGGTACCCCTTCCTCCTTTGCCCTCTGTGCCTCTGTGTGTAGGCTATTATATTTTTACCCTGCTTAATCTTGTTTACATAACTGCCCAGCCCAGGAGGGATTGGCAGGAAATATTCAAAGTCGTGAAAAGCAAGGACCTACAAAAAGCAAGGACCTACAACCAAGATGACTCTGCCTAGCAAAGCTACCATTTAGAATTGAAGGACAGATAACTTCTCAACAAGAAAAAACTGAGTTTATCACCACCAAGCCAGTATTACAAGACATACTAAGGAGGCTTCCTTAAGAAGGAAAAAAATATAAAAAATGTATCAAATGGCAATCACTACATAGCTAGCAATAATCAAAGGTAAATGGATTTAATGCCCCAATCGAAAGGCACATAGGGTGGCTGAATGGAAGAAAATGACCCTTCCGTATGCTGCCTATAAGAGACTCACTTCAGATCGAAAGACACACACAGACCAAAAGTGAAGGGATAGGAAAGGATATTACATGAAAATAGAAATGAAAAAAAATAAAAATAAAAAGCTGGGGTAGCAATACTTACACCAGACAAAAGACTTTAAAACGAGAGACAAAGAAGGACCCAGCAATCCCACTTCTGGGTATCATCCGAAGAAACCCCAAACGCTGATTCAAAAAGACATATGCGTCCCTATATTCATTGCAGCGTTATTTACAATAACCAGGACATGAACCTCAGTGTCTATCGATGGATGACTGGATAAAGACGAAGTGGTACGTACACGCGATGGAACACGACTCAGCCGTAAAAAAGTGAAATCTTGCCATCCGCAACGGCACGGATGGACCTAGAGGGACTTATGCTCAGTGGAGTGAGACAGAGGAAGACAAATGCTGTGTGATTTCACTTACACGCAGAATCTGAAACACAAAACAGAAACAAACTCATACATACAGAGAACATGTTGAGGGTTGCCAGATGGTGGAGGTGGGGGTTGGAGAGACGGGTGTAAGCGGGGAAGGGATGAAGATGTGCCATTTGCCAGTTATAAAAACAGTCACAGGGAGGTAAAGTACAGCACAGGGAACACAGTCAATAACATTGTCAGATGGGTCCTGTGTCAGATGGGTCCTGGGTTTATCGCAGTGATCCATTCATAAGTTCTGTAGATGTCTAATCGCTATGTTGTGCACTTGAAACTGATATAATATTGTATGCCAACTATCATTGAAAAATAAGAAATCTTAAAAAATAACTCGGGCAGCTTCTTTTACGTGTCTTAGCAGCAGGGACTGTGTGCCACCATAACAGGGACATGGTAGAGGTTCCGTAAGTATTTATTAAAATGAGAGGTTAGGCAGTCACTGGCCTATCCACGTGTGGGAGGCCACCGGATGTGGGCTGTGGATGTTTCTCTAGGGGAGCCGTTCCGTGTGCACTTCGATGGCATCTGCACGGTCACCGCACCGAGTCTGCGTGGCAAGCCGCGAAGCGCCCCCTGCCACCGAGGTCTCTGGCCCGACCGTGCGGCCGGCCAAGAGCACGTCCCCGTTTCGGGGAAACGGCGAGTGGTCGTGTTGGAGGGGGTGCTGCTGGGATGAACTGGTTCCTGGGCTCTGCTGCACTGGTTAGTGGCTCGGCCCCATCCGGTTATGAGAGCGGCTGTTTGCTCGCACCTCTGGGTGGGGACGGCCCCGGAGTCCAGGCGCGCGGCTGGTGAAGGAGGGTGAGCAAACGGTCCTCTGTCGTTCATTCGTTACGGTTTTATGAGCCGGGCTGCGTGGCGAGTGCTAAGGTGTGTGACCGTCAGCACGAGACGGAACACTGGGAACGACGGACAGCGAACAAGGGAGCACAGGTGCGTGCTCCACGACGAGCTTTGCCCCCTGGGAGGAAAGAGCCGTGAGAAGCGTCGCAGGCTCGTCTGAAGGGAGCAAAGGCCTTGACACTGAGACAGGAAGTGTGAGCTCCCCGACAGGGAACAGGACAAGCGTCTGAAGCTCCTCGGGCAAAGGTCCCGAGGCAGCAGGGAGCTTGGTGGCTTCTGGGGTCTTTAGATAAACTGACCCAACCTCAGAGCAGAGAATTGGAGAGATGGCGGGGCCGCAAAGTGCCTCGTGGGCTCATCACAGGACCTAGAGGACGCAGCACCCAGCCCACAGTTAGAGCTTAATGCAGGGCCGCCGGGGGCGAGTCGAGCCCGAGCCCCCTAACGGACCGCCGAGACCGGGAGGGGCGGCCCCCGGGTGGCCTGGGGCTGGGGGTGCAGGCAGGGGCTGGGAATGGAGGCGGCACCGCGCTCCAGCCGGGCCCCAGCCGGCTGCGGGGCCTGGGCCCAAGGGAGGAGGACGCTGGTCGTGTCCGGAGGTCGGCCTCCTGGAGCTGCTGTGGACGGCGCGCAAGGCCACCGGTGCTCAGGACGTGCGCTGGGGCCGGACTGCCGCACGCTCCACCGCGCCACAGCCCCTAGCGGCTCCATCCCCTTACGTGGCTCTTCACCTTAATTCCTCTACTGTTGTCGCTTTCGCTAGCGTCCAGGAGGAAGTCGAGTGGGCGGCCTGGCCCCACCGTCGCCACCAGCGCCGCCTGGAGTGCCGGCCTGAGCGCTGGACCCGGAGGCTGGAGAACTGGATTCCTAACAAGCTCTCAGGTGTCCAGGTGCTGCAGCCCGGGGACCACACTGTGACATCTGCTGGAGTAGCAACCGAGAGTGGATAGACTCTGGATTCGAATGGGACTTGCTTCGGGTCCCACCTCTGCCGTTCACTGTCTGTGTCACCTTTCCGAGCGTCCCTTAATTTACTAACAGGACCCACTTGTGAGGATTAGATAACGTTTTACAGCTATGCATCCATTTGTGTACGTCAGACAACACAAACACTAGAAAGGCTAACAAGCCAAAGAAAACATATTTCCAATAAAATAGCAATCTTTAAAGAGAATCAGCGAGAAAGGAAACCATCCCAACAGAAAAACTGGAAATGTACGAATTCAGGGCCCGACCCGGCTCTAGATCACAGACCGGAAAGGACCAAAAGCCAAGAAGAGATCTTCGAGTCACCAGCAACTACAGAAAAGCAAAGTAAACCACCCATTGCCATTGTTTCTCTGCCGAATGAGCAGAAATGTTTAAAACTATGCAAACAGCTCCTGTCGAAAGGCGGCGGGGAAAGGGAGGGGCACACGCTTCTGGCGGGGTCGTAAGTATCACCTTTTAAGGTGACCGTCTACCAAAAAGCCTTATAATTTGTACATGCTTTTTAAGCATGGCAATTTCACTTTGGAAGTTTCTCCGAGAAAAAAGGAAACCGTAACAAAGATATATCATCTGATAGTATTGTTGACAATAGCAATAGAAAAACTATCATAAACGCCCTGCAAAGGTTAGAGTATATTCACATCGGCATGCTAAATGGTTAAAAAGAATGAGTGTGTTCGTACGAAACGAATACTTAAAGATGTAGGAAAACGTCCTCCACGTTATTGAATAAAAAAGCGAGTTGATTAAAAAAACAGTATGTCCCACATAAGCCCATTTTTGTTTTCTTAAAAGGCGTCACGATTACACGCGTGTGTGCACGTGTGCGACGCTGCTCCCCCTGAGCCGTCCCCCGGAATCACAGCCCTTTCAGTAAGAGCAGACGTCGATCTGCCTGGGACCAGACCCTGCTGTCAGCGACAGGAAAATAGCCAGAATTGTTTCCCGCGGATGGGGTAGGATTGTTAGAAATTCCATCCTCAGCAACACGGTAATCATGTCATTCGGATGGAAAGGCAGGGGGACAGCGAAGGTCCCCACGGAGATTACCCAGGCCCAGCCGTTTTCAGGGCATCCATCTAATTCTCGTCTAATGGCAACGGGACCCTTTGCGAGCGCTCTGGATTCGTGGAGTTTAAAAGTCTTTCGAGTGGGGAAGCAGGTGTATTGTCTTCCCGGGTTCCGGGCGGAGGGGAGCGTCTCCGGCTTGCGGGCTGTCTGGTCTCCGTGCAAGTCCTCGTGAACGAGTGTGTGCTCCAGGAAGGCTCCGTTTACGGACACGGAACTGCAGATTTCCCATGTGCAATGAAATGTTTTTCTTGTGATTTTTAAAGCCACGTAAAGCCGTGAAGGCGCCAGCAGTGTGCCAGGGGCAGCTGGCCGGCCACTGCGTTAGCTCCGTGAGGGAGGCACGGCCAGCACGGGACCCGACAGTGAAGATGCCCCGGAAACGCTTATCGAATGAGGTTAAGGGGAACACCTCCGTGCTTCAGATGTTAAAACGGGCAGGACAGCCCTAGAGGCACTTTGACCATGTGTGGTTTTCACGCTTCCTCTTTTTAAGCCGTCAGCCTCTTTGGTTGGTCTCATTGTCTCTGTCGAGTAGCCTGTTCAGGGCCCCCTCGCTGCCAGCACCTAGAGGCACTTTGACCATGTGTGGTTTTCACGCTTCCTTCGCGCACACACGCAGTGTTTCATCTTATAACCGCTTTGGCATTTTTATGGAATAAAATGGGCCCCCGATGGACCCTACTTTACACGAGCGCACTCACCGGGGTTCGGCTTGTGATTACTTCCTGGGGCGTCAGGCCAGCTGGGAGGGGACCCGCCAGGAAAGGTGAGCCGGGGTGAGCGCTAAGCTCGCACTGTGGAAACTGATCCTCCGAGTAGGGCGTCGGGGGACTTGGCACCTCCGTCTTTGCTCATCTCGTACGTAAACTGCCTCCATGGCCGCATCCGCCTTCAGCGGCTCCCACGCGTGCGGGGTGAACGCGAAGGTGTCCGGCATGGCGCCTAAGGCGCCTCGGTCCGGCCTCGTACACACGGCGTCAGGGCTGCATTAACTAGGGTGAACGCGAAGGTGTCCGGCCCCGCCTGTTTCTCCAACGGCCTCGTACACACGGCGTCAGGGCTGCATTAACTCACAGCGTGCCCATGCTCCTTTCCTCATCTGTGACACGCGGATGAGGTGTTTGTTTAAATTACAGGAGTGTCAAAGTGTTAAATGGGGTAACACGTGCACACATTCTGGAAAAACACAAGTGGCACCAACCAGCGATACCTTGTGTTGTAACTGATGTTTATCTGCCCAACCGGCTTTTCTAAACCAGAGCCCCAGGAGGGCAGACACCATGCCCGCCCACCTGTCATCGCTCCAAGCGCAGGGAAGGCCACTGTCCCCGGCGGGACAGGGCACAGCCATTTACCAAAGCGGGATGTTTGTGAATAGCGAACGTGAGGACGTCAACGCCCTTGGCAGGGAGGGACGGAACTTGGCATCGCTACTCACATTTCTGTATTTGCGATGTCAGTTTTTTCTCTTCCTGAATCTCCATAGCCAAATTCTGGCAAGAAGCTGAATGCAGCGGGAAGTTTTACAAGAAGCGACAGACACAGATAAAGCTCACTATAAATTTAATCCGTGACATAAATGTTACCTAAAGACACATCGAACATCTTGTATTAGAAAACAAAACACGACAGTCAAATTTCATTTTGAAAATGCTTCTGCGGCGCGGAGACCTCCCTCAGACCTCACGCCCGGTCTGCTTCCGGGGAAAACACCGCTCAACGCGGTTTAAGTACAAGTAAAGCTGTCAAAATGAGGGTCACAGAGGCACTGGTTACTCGTTCAGAGAACACTTAGTTTCTGTAGTCACTGAATTATTCTATTCGTCAATACATTCCCTTATGCAGAATGAAATGTAATACTCCATTTGTGGCTCCTTCTTCCCGTGTAAGTAACCGGGGACCTAAAGAGACACTTGGCCCAGGAGGAAACCTCCATTTTAACTGTGTGGACACGGCTGCTCCTCGGGCTGACAGCTCCCATCCGGACGAAGCTCTTTCCCGAGCTAACAGCAGATTAACGGCACTGAGGTGAAACATGGTAAATCCAATGGCTGACAACACTGCTGTCGGAACTTCAGACATTTAGGTGATCACAAATAAAAGAAAAAGCGTTATTGTTCTCTTTTCAGAAGAGTTTTTAAGTTTTCTTGATATTCTATAGAATAGCAAGAACTTCTAAACTTTCTTCAAATGTTTTAAGGTTGAAAATTACAATTGTATTATTTGGATGTTAGCCTCATTGAATGAAATTTTTAAAGTATTTAAATAACAAGCCATACAATTCAGGTTAGGGAATATAAATTTTTAAAATATAATTTCCAAAATACACGCCGTCAGACAACAGAATGTGAAATTCATTTTTACATCTTTCCTGCTACTACCTGGCAGTTCACACCTCGCTTCTGCCAGTTCTCATAGAAAGAAATATGTGAATAATGAAAATAGACGTTTCCCTCATCAAAGGCTGGGGCTTCTTCCCTTTTTAAAACTCAGCGGGCTCCCCTGTGCCCGAAATGTTGGAGACGACACACATCCAAACGGTGTCATCCCAGAGGGACACACGCCCCTACGCTGCCACGCCTCTGAGGAGAATGCGCGTGCCCCTCGCGCCAGGTGCCATCAACTACTTCCGTGTGGACAGCAGTCGAGCTCCTCTCGCAAGGCTTTCGGGGTTACGTAAAGGCTTAGGTGCTTGTCTCCTGTCACGCTACCTGGCGACATTGCACCCAAGGTGGGCAGACTCCCACTGAGAGGATTACACAGTGACTGGCAAACTGGCCTAAAATAATTAGGCTTTTTATTTACAATTCCCTTTTAAAAGGTGTCATTCGACGATAGCTTCAATCCACAACAGCAGGTAAAAAAATGAGGTGTCATACTCTATTAATTCAAATATTCCAAGATGAAAAAAAAGTATAAAACCTGAAAATAACTTCAGTGCGATAGACTTTAAGAAAGTTACAATGATTAAAACTCTGAATAAGAAGATCTTCAGAACAGGTACATCTCAAAACAACATTTTCTACACTTTGGGAAAAATAGGCAAATTTCGAATAACTTGAAGTGCGAGTTATGGCTTCCACACCATCCGTAAGGGTTTCCCCCCTGCGATGCAGTTTTGCTTGAAAGTCTGTCCCATTCGATTTACCAGGAAGTGCTTTGTTTGTTCATTAATTTTCTGTACATCCCGTCGGGATTCGAGAGCAGGTCCTCGTGCTTCCCGTATTCCGTGATCCTGCCCTGGTCGAGCACGGCCACCACGTCGGCGTTCTTGATGGTGGACAGACGGTGGGCGATGATGAGCACCGTCCTCCCCTCCATGAGCCGGTCCAGCGCTTCTTGCACGAGGTGCTCGTTCTCGGCGTCCAGGGCGCTTCCATGCGGGAAAGCCATGCGGGAAAGCAGAGCCGTCAGTGCCACGCACGCTGTGTGAGCCCCTGCTTCCCGTCCACCGACAGTGGCCCTGCCCTAGCGGCGAATTACCACTGGGATCAAAACCGCAGCTTCTCGGGTCTACGACAAACATTTACACTAGGAACGTGATAAAAGGAGCCTGGGACACCCGCTCGCCACAAAAGCATCCTGCACGGTGGATCAGAGAACCTCGCGATTCATCACCAACACGCCGGGTCGGAAATGGACCCCAGCCCGCCCGACTCCGTCACTAACTCCCTAAGTGGCGGGGGAAAGGCACCTGCAGCAGTAGCACCCCGAAGGACCGAGTAAGGCCTTGGAAAAGGGAGACTTCACTCGATACAATTACACGTAGTACCAAGACATCCTCACCTGGTCGCTTCATCCAGGAGAAGAATTTTGGGGTTCTGAAGAAGGGAAAACATCCAAAAACAGAGAGGGGAAAAAACCACATATTATTAGAAAACCACAAACTGTCAGTAGTAAGTCCGAATGAAGTGCGGGTACGTGCCACAGCCTGGCCGACCCGCGAAAACACTTTGCTCAGTGAAGAGTGAGACACGAAACGCTACGCGTTGCGTGACCGCACCCGGCGGGCACGTCGTGCGGGCTCACCGTGGACACGGAAAGTGGACCGGGGGGGCGTAGGGGAAGGGTGTGCGTGTCTGAGCGCCGGAGGGCACGGCGTCTCTTCTGCAGCGATGAAAACGTTCTAAGTTGATCGTGGTGATGGCTGCACAATGCGGAACATACAGAAACCCAGCGAATGGTACACTTTTAACGGGCAAATGGCATCGAGTGTGAATTAGATCACGAGAGAGGAAAACCGCAGACTCGCACGTGTGTGAGACGCTCGCTCACACGCACCGGGGCGCTGGAGACGGCTTCACGGCCCGTCGCAGCCGTCGCGGGCTGGGGGCTGCTCAGAGAGCGGGGGGGGAGTCTCGCTGGTGGGAAGGCCGCTCCCTGACCGAAGGGCCCCGTGCTGAGCTTGGCCCCGACACCCCTGGCACAGCACGGGCCCCCGATGCCCCAGGAAGGTCTGTTAAGTGTGGGCGACACGCACTCGGGGCCCCCCTAACCCACCTTTCACCAGCCTGTCAACCATCCGCCCCACCAAAAAAAAACAAAGAAGACCAGAAAGTGACAAACCATAGGCCTCTAATCGAAAACGGTAACAAGCAAGCATGGCCAGGTGGCCTCGGACGTACCTTAAGCAAAGCGCGGGCCACCGCGATCCGCTGCTTCTGGCCACCTGGCAATGACAACACTTTGTTAAAGACTGAAAGCCTTGACAGAGGCTCCCGGCGACGGGCTTCGATCTGCAGGCAGCCTCTTCCGTCAGTCACGGCTGCACGATGGCCGAACGGAAACCGATTTATTAAACACACCACCTCCTCGTTTACTTCGAAATTGGCAACGATCACTATCGAAGCTGACAGCGACCGAGAGGTCCCCCGTGACAGGCATTTTCCGAACGCGTGACACGGATTCGTTCATCTAACTGTGGAATCCTACGGAGTCGATCCCATAGGGACCCCTTTCTCACGCACGACGCCCGGGCGCAGGCCGAGGCGTCGCAGCGGGCGAGGGCAGAGCCGAGCCTGAGCTTCCGCCCGGGACAGGGCCGTCCCCGAGTGGGCGCCCTGTGCAGCGAGGCGACCAGCAAGTCCGGGTCCTCGGAGGCTTCTGAACAGCTCGCGAGAGGTCGGGGCGGGGGCGTCCCGGCTCGGAGCGCGCGTCCTGATGTCCTGTCCTCGCATCACCCTCGTGGAGTGACACAGACAGCGGGCCGCGCCTGCACGCGGGAGGCGACACGCGGGGCGAGCGCTCGAACCCTCTTCTA